AGAGAAGATGGGCCGAATGGCCTATAGGTTGTAGGTTGTTTATTCTTTCTTGTTATTTATGTTTCTTTTCTATAATGGGCCTTATTCTGGGCCCATCCTGTCAATACTAAGTTCTTTGTAAATTCTTGCCCAACTAAGGGCCTCCTTGTAATTATTCAAATATATCTAATAAAACAATGTTAGGGGGTTGAGAGAGCATGAGTTCGAAACCCTCTTCTCAGACCCTCATTGCCGAACCCTCAACTCTCTTCTCTTCAGTTTTCTTCAAAGACAAAGAACAAAATAATTAATTTCAATCACAAATTAAATAAATATCAACAATAACATTTTTCTAGAGGCTCTGAAGCCAAGCATCTTGTATTAGGGTATGCTTGACCACCATTGGCGTGTTTTTGCATTTTTTTTGGTAGGTTCCCTTTAATATTCATGAGGCCTTTGGTGGCCTTGGGTTTGTCTCTGTCAGGGCCTTTAGGATTTGTTACTTGTCCTTTTTCTTACAGTAGTACATTATACACAGTTAATGATATAATTAATAATCCCAATTCAAATAAAAAAATAACTGTTTAAGAAATTCGATATCATCTAGTATCTTTTAATTCAACTTGAATTAATCAACTAGATTCATGACTTACAACTTAAGTGTTCCTAATAATGAGTAAGCTAGACATACAAGAAGCAAGTGTTTGAAAATGGACTATGCTGAATGTCAAATGGTCTGTAAAATACTTTTGAATTTTCATTGGAAAGACCATATGAAGTGGTAGAAAACTATTCAATTTAATGGTATAAATTGTAACATATCCTATTTTGGAATTTTAAAAATATTTAAGAAAATCAGCTGGTTAAATAAGTAGCAAAGTATGATTGATTGGACTAAAAGTTTGATTCCATGCATTTCCTTCGTAAGTGAGAGAGGCCTATTAGTTGATAGAACATAAGTTTGATCTTTGAACTGTTATCAAATGGATGTTTCCATTGATCCTTTTAACCCCTTTGATCTTCTTTTTTTTGTTTCAATAAATTTTTTCTGTTATCTTTAGAAAAAAAAACCATGAGCTCCTATATTCATGCAGGTGATGATGCCTTGTGTTATGCCATTGTTTAAACTTCTTCATTATATTTTCTTCTCTGTTGTTTTTAGTGTTGTATCCATCTATAAATGACTTGATCACATTTTATTTATTTATTTATTATTTTCCTGATCATGTTTTCAGCCCTTGAGAAGTTGTTAGAAGGAATTTCTGGAAGATATGCCACAGGAGATGAAATCTATCTGGTTCTCTCTCTCTCTCTCTCTCTCTCTCAGGCACATACACTAACAAATGCAGAAATTATATTTCACTTAAGTATTATATTTTGCGTATCTTGCTTTCTTTGTCTTCATAGTTCTTCTTGTGGTATTGGAGTGCCTTTTTCAATTGACTGAGCTATTACTTTTTCTAGTAGAAAAGTGCAGAAGATCTGTTTTGATATAAAAAATGTGTAAGAAAGAGAAAAAGAAAGAAAAGAGAAGGTTTATGTAGAGAAGAAAAGAGGAGAGAAATTGAAGAGAATGGGAGAAGCCAAAATTAGGTCTGGCCACCCCTTTCACAAGTAGGCAACTTAAATATTATTGACAATTGTGAATTCTCTCTATTGAGGGAGTTTTTTTCTGTTGGTTGGGCATCTTTGTACTGAGTATTAAGGGTTGTTTGGTGTTGGAAGCGATTTCGGGGGTTAATATTTTGAGGATCTAAAGTTAATCTTTGGGTTTGAGAGAGTGGTTTTTCTCTTGGGTCTTGTGCTTGTTTTTAGTGGGTGATATCTTATCACCTTTATTGTATTCTTTTCTTTAATAAAATTCCTTTTAGTTTACTACAAAAAAATGAATGTGTGGAAGATATGAAGAGATTAAGGAGGAAAGGCTTTGTGCAAGTTGGATTTGGAGAAATCCTACGGTATCATCCTAGGGTTCCAGTTATTCATCTCCAATTTGCAGATGATATTATAATATTCAGTGAGGGCGGAGAACAAGGTTTGGTGAGTAACTTGAAGGAGGTGGTGAGGAAGTTTGAGCTTGTCTCTAACCTAAAAATCCATTTTGAGAAGAGTTGTATAGTGGAGATCAACTTGGAGGAAGGGGGAACTAAACATTGTTGCATACACTTTAGAGTGTTCCATTGCTTGTTGGCCTTGACCTTCCTAGGACTTCCCTTTGGAGCAAACCTTAAAGAGAGTAGATTTTGGAATCCAATTATTGAGAGGTGTGCAAAGAAATTGGTGGCTTGGCTTGATGTGTCCTTGGGAGGAAGAATTACCTTGATTAAATCCACTCTTGCTAATTTACCAATTACCTTGAGAGGAAGAATTACCTTGAAATTATGAGAGTTTTTCTGTGGGAGCCAAGTGATGAAAGAGAAATCATTTGCTTAATTGGGAGGTGGTGTGTAAACGCCTCCAAGAGGGACGGTTCGGTATTGGAATTTGTTATAATTCGGCCTGCCTTGGAGTTCTATTTGTCTGAGATCAGTTACGTAGAAAGGTGGAAGAAAGAGAGAGAGAGAGAGAGAGAGAGAGAGAGAAAAGTCTGGTTCGAACTGGAAGTCAAAACCTAACTCCCATTCGGCCAGATATGTGCTTTTATTATTAGAATAATGGAAAAGACATATGTGCCCTTATTTTAAGTAAGGAGCATTGGTTCTAACATAATATTATAGTTCAACAACCTTAATATAAGAATAAAGACAGAAATCCCCCTACGCTAACACTCCCCCTCATGCTGGTGAGTATATATCATTTAATCCCAACTTGTTACATATGTAGTCCACTCTTCCCCGATTCAAGCCTTTTGTAAATAAGTCTGCCCACTGGTTTCCTGTATTAACGTATGCAGTGTCTAGTTCTCCATTCAGCACCTTCTCCCTCACAAAGTGACAGTCAACCTCAATGTGCATGGTTCTTTCATGAAACACCGGATTAGAACAAATATGAACTGCAGCCTGATTGTCAGAATAGAGCTTCATTGGAGTATTGATGTTGTACCCTACTTCCTGTAGAAGGTTCCTTAGCCACACTAATTCACAAACAGTATGCGCCATAGCCCTATATTCTGCTTTTGCACTACTTCTTGCCACGATTGTCTGCTTCTTACTTTTCCATGTCACTAGGTTACCTCCCAGGAAAGTGCAATAGCCTGTGGTAGACCGCCTATCAGACACAGAACCAGCCCAGTTAGCATTAGAATACCCTTCTACTTCAAGTTTTCCGCCACTTTTGTATATGAAACCATGACCCGGAGCCCCTTTTAAATACCTCACAATTCTCAGAACTGCATTTCAATGAGGAATCAGAGGTTTCTGCATGAATTGACTTACCACACTAACCACAAATGAGATGTTTGGCCTAGTAATGGTTAGGTAGTTCAGTTTACCTACAAGTCGTCGGTATCTGCCGGGGTCTTCAAACACTTCACCCATATCATTGCTTAGCCTAGTATTTGTGTCCATAGGTGTTTCAGTTGGTTTAGCACCCAACAAGCCTGTTTCTTCCAGCAAATCAAACACATATTTCCTCTGGCACAGATTAATACCATACTTAGATCTTGCTACCTCTATACCCAAGAAATATTTCAGTTTACCAAGGTCCTTTGTCTGAAAATGATCCTGTAGATAAGTCTTCAGCCTGGCAATACCCATGTTATCACTCCCGGTAATAACAATATCATCTACATACACCACCAACAGTACTTTTTCTCCTGGAGAGTCATGACTGAATACAAAATGATCAACTTGGCACTGT